CAGCCACCCCGCCTGGCCCCTGCCCACAGCCGTCATGTGGCTGCCAGCACCCGGAGCGCGGCAAGAGGAAGGTCTGAAAATAATCGCCGGCTCATCCTGTCCTTTTGAAAGCCAGGAGTTGCCGCTGTGGGGAATTTTGGTGACAGCAGACTGGCTAACGGTCAGCTCCCCACTGAGTCAGGCGCAGGCCTCATCCCACAGCACAGCCTGTGCTGGGGGGACCCCTGTGTTAGGGGCTCCCTGCCTGCTCCAATGCCACTGCTGCTCCCTGCCCCTCTGGGTACCGTCTGGGACAAGACCCAAGCCACCATGGCCGTGCCCAATGTAACTGCAACACAGAGCCCACACAGACAGCAGTGGGTGCAGTATTAGAATGCAGCTCCACAACTTGTGATGTAGGCACTATGCTGCTGCCCTTCTTCCTAAACTCGGCACACCTTTGTTTAAAATGTTCCAGTACACCTTTGTTTACTCAGGGCATTATCGCACTATCTCAGGCTCCTTTATTCTGGGTCCACGCTGTGACTCAAGGATAGTTTAATGCAATTTATTCCATCTTTACGCCATATCAAAGATATCCTGGCAAGTTCATGTTTATTGTTTGTAGTTAATGTTTAATATTTCCTATTACTCGCATCTTGTGGTTGATCTTAATTATACCCTTCTAATGTAAGACAAAAGTCAGTGAATGAGAACACTTTCATTGTGCTTTCGGCTATGGCTGTGCCTCAGACCTTAAGCAGCTCTGTGTGCTGCCTGCACTGCTTGGCTGTGCTGCTTGTCTGCACGGAGCTGTGCATGCAGTGGTGCATGCAGCTTTGCAGACTGCTCTGTGTGGAGCTGTGCATGGTGCTGTGCATGGAGCTGTGTATGGAGCAGGGAACTGTGCGTGTACCTTACGTGGAGCTGTGCAGGGAGCTGTGCAAGGCTGGCACTGTGGCCAGGGCTGCCCCATGCTGCAGCAGCACAGGCAAACAGTGGCTATTTCTGAGGAAGGAAGGCCCAGCCTGATGTTTGCTTTGTCCGAGTTTAAATGATAGTGCTGTTTTTCCTTCTGGCTGGGCTGAATCATTAAAACAAATCAGTACCAACTGAAAACAAAAGAGAGTGCAGAGGTCAAATTCTCCTAACCCCATGCCTGCGTAGAGCTGGGCAGCTAGCAGCTCTCTCTGCCCCTCTACCTCAAACGCAGCACTGCAGCAGGGCAGGCCCCAGTGCTGCAGCCCCACAGCTCTGCAGGAGGGGTGGCAGTGGCCCCAGAGCTGCGGGGCCTATAAATAAGAGGGGGGAGCAGGCAGCAACACAACCTGACACTGTGCTGCTCCTTCGGTGACATTTTGTCAAATGCCAGTGGGGAGGGGGGCTGCTTATCTGCGGCACGCGCTCCGATGACCTTCACAGCGCTGGCCAGGTGCCTCCTTGCTGTATTTACTCTTATTTATAGCTCTCTCCTCCACCATCCCGTGCCCCCCTCCTGGCACCGAGGGCAGCCACCCCTTGCCATGCTCTTATCAGGGAGCGGAGCGGGAGCCGACACAGCCCTGCGGTGACAGCTCTGGGACGGGCAGGCGCCGGCTGCAGGGGCACGCAGGGTATGGTCGGTGCCCACAGGGCAACAGGATGGTGCTGGTGGCACCAGTGCCGCTGCCCCCTCGCTCCCTTGCCCCACCTGGAACAATCACACGGTGTCTGCTGCCCGCATGGCCATAATCCCCATTTCAAGCAGTCTGTAATTACGGATTTCCCTGATAAGCGTTTACGGCTCTCTCCAAGCTCCTGCCCAAGGTGTTTCTTTCCTTTTCAGAGCTCAGGGCAAAGCATTCCCATCTGCAGCAGGGCTGTGGTGGCAGCTACCCGTGGGGCTCCGAATTTTCTCACCTTGCAGCCGGGATGCCATGGGCTAATTTGGAGCTCTGTCTCCCGTTTGTGTGTGGATGTGTGTTTATCCCTTAATGCCTTGAGCAGGCACTGAGTGGTGGGGATAGAGGGGCAGTGAGTCACAGCCCCGCTCCCTGTGAGAGCACAGCCTCCGGCTTCTTCCTTCACCCTCCCTGGGAAGCCCCCTCTTTCCTTCCTTTTTTTTGTTCATTAGACACAGAGAGCAGCTAAGTGGCATGTGAGTGACAAGCCGATTGCACAGCATCCTGGGGACATGTGTGGAAGTGGCGGTGCAGATCTGCCCTTCCAGCTTAACTGGGATTAAGCCATGGAGAGGCTGCCGTGCCCCATCCGCGCCGGCAGACTTCAGAGCCTTGTGCTCGTGCAGCACCGCTGAGCACAAGCACGGCATGCCTGCTGCGCCCGGAGCTGTGCTGCAGAGCACTTGGCCACCACTTCAAGGGCCTGCAGGGAGGAGGCTGCAAGATAAGGGCCAGTGCTGCCTCAGTGCTGTCTCTGAGCTGTGGTCATGGACTTGCTGGTGCCATGCATGGGAGAACCCATTGCTCTCCAGGAGCCCTCAGGCCGGCCATGACCACACATACTGCTGGCTGGTTCAGCCCGAGGAGCCCAAGTTCACATTGAAAGAGAAAAAAAAACATTTCCCATCTTGTTAATCCAATATTTGAAATAGAGCTGGGCTCCTTTCTTAGCAGATAAAACCTCACAAATACCTGCACTGAAGTTAGTGCTGCTCCAAAGCAGGAGAAAAAGCTGCAAACCACCTGCCTGGGGACATGGCCCACCTGCTGTCCCCATGCCAGCATTAGTGCCTGGCTGAGCTCAGCAGGGTCTGCTCAGAGGTGACTCTGGCCAGCAGCTGCCCCAGCTTCCAGGCAGACCCCAGCTACGAGGAAACACGAGGTGGCTGTCCCCTGCCTCCCCGCTGCCTCTGCTCAGGCAATTGCTCTAGGTGAAGGCACAGAACAGGCTGGGAGAGTTCTTTGCTTTGAAAGAGGCTGCACTGTGCTTTCTTGGGAAAAGGCCTGGGCAGAGCAGGGCCCCATCAAAGAGCCGTCACCACAGTGACCTCTGAATGTCCCTGGCAGCCTGTCCTTCGTGCTGTCGCTGCTCCTGGCTCAGATGTGGTACATGGGGACGCCAGAGACAATGAGTAGAGAGTACCTGGAGCCAAGGTATCTCCACAGCACGGCACAGGGCTAGTGGGCAGCTCTGCACAAACCTGCAAAGTGAGCACAAAGCCCCACTGTGTGGGTCCCTGCACATCTTCCAGGCAGGTCCTGCTTCCACTATTGACACTCTGGCTCTGTGTCCCTGGACAGTGTAGGGCAGTGGCATGGGGACCTGGAGTTGTTCCTGCTGCAGGATGAGTTGGACATGGCAGAGCTCCCTGCAGCTTTGGCTGCAGCCATGCAGCAGTGAGCACAGGCCAGGTGTCCGGGCTGGAGGATGCCTCCAAATTTTCAAGCATGTCTCCATGGGTGTTTGCTGGCTGCACACCAAGAACCCATGGCTGATCTTCCTACAAACTCCCGAGTAAAATTAGAACAAAAGTTCACTCCTCTCCCAAGGCAGCAGGAAGTGGAAAGGATGGGAAAAGGGAAAGCTGGAACAGATGAGGTCCCATGCCCAGAGCAACCCTGCACCAGTACGCACTGGTACCACACTGGTACCTCACCAGCACCAGCTCATGCTCCCCACTTGTGCTCCTGACCCGACGAGACCCCTCCTGCTGGAATCACATGGCCTGGCACAGGGCTGCCCTGCTGGTATGCGGGGCTTTGGGCCACTGCTCACCCATATGGGAGCTGGGAGTCCAGGAGCATCCACCGTGAATACTGCTGGGGTCACTGCAGCACAGGGCACCAAATGCCTGTCTCTGGGTGCCTGGCTTGGGCAGCTCCATGGCATTGGATTGCAGGAGTTTATTTTTACCCAGCCCTGTTGCCAACGGGGACGTGTCACATCTGTGGAGTTGATCAAAAGACGTCCCAAGCACTGGTGTCAGCTGCTCCTTGTGATCAGCACCAAGAACTTTTCCCTGATGGCATATCAAAAGGAGCAGGAGAATTTGTCTGCTTTGCTATTTTTAATTGAACATACACACACGTATATATGTGTGTGTATGGCTTTTCTAAAAATAAGCCCTTTGCCTGTGTTCCCATGGGAAGATTTAGGGAGAAGGGGGAGCTGGAGTTGTTGCAGGAGATGAGGAAGTCAGAAGTACTGCCTTTGCCCTTCCTGCAGCTCAGTTTGAGATCCCTGTCCCCCTGCTGCGTGGCGGAGCAGAGCCTGTCAGCGCCGCACAAGTGGAGGCCACCCTGTTTTTCTGCCTCTCTCACGTGCTCAGATGTTTGCCTGCTTCGAAATCCATTTGCTGTGTAAACAAACTTGCTTCCCTCATCACCAGAAAACTCCCTCCGGGCAGCCAATGCTGGGGCGATGCACGCGGACCTTTCACCCTGTGCTGGAGCCCCGTGTTTTGCTGGGGATGCATGGGGGCAGCGGGGCAGGTGGGTGCAGCTCCATGCGGGCAGTGAGGAGCCAGGTGGGATCAGGGCAGGTCTCAGCTGTGTTCCGTGATCAGTGGATATTTTTAGCTCGGTTCCTGGAGCTCCAGTCGCCCCACGTGCACATGGATGATGATCTCTGTGCCGTTTTTCCCTTCTTGCCTGTGCAAGGAGCCTGAGGGGCCCTCATTGCAGTGCCTTGGGGCCTGCGCCTCCCCAGGGAGCAGTGTGCTGCCATGTAGCAGGAATGGGGACAGGGTAAGTGGTGCGAAGCCATCCTGCAGAGCCTTGCCCTGTGTGTTGCATGTGTCTGCGCCCACAGTTCTCACCTCTCTCTGTTGTTGGGGCAGCAGGATGAAGCCTGGGTGCTCGCCGTGCAACACAAAAGGCACCACAGGCTGCATGCCAGCTGCCATACCCCAAGCTCTGCCTATCCTGGGCTCAACACATGCGCAGCGTTTCCATTTTATCCCAAAATGCCACTGTTGTAGTCTGAGGAATGTGCTTGAGAGGAGGTGATGCGTGTGGGGACCCCAATGAAACCCCTTGCACTGCAGCTGCACGCTCACTGCCGCTTTCTTCTCTCCCCAGTATGAGGTGTCTGATGAGGAGCATCTCTACTCCGACTTCCCTGAGATCGATTTGTCCCAGCTGGATGCCAGCGACTTCGACTCGGCCGGCTGCTTTGGCGAGCTGCAATGGTGCGCAGAGCACTCTGAGACTGAGTCCAGCCAGTACAGCACCGATGACTCTGAGCTCCTCCAGGTACCCATGGAACATGGGGACACGGGGACACATCCCTCCATGAACTGGAGGCAGAACCATTTGTGTGGCGCGTGCTGGGTGACAGCCAGGCACCAGGGACCCAAAGGCAGAGGCGTGGGGAGCACAGGGTGTGTGGAGAAGAGAGGGAAGGTGCGATGGGACTGCTATTAATATCCCCTCCCCAGCTGATTAGTGCTCTCATTAATTTGCTCGCTGTCTGTAAATGGAGCAGGCAGAGTAAGGATAATGAGGAGGTGCCAGAGCCGCCTTTCCCAAAACTGTCCCTCCTCCCATGCTGCGGCCTGGATGTGCCCATCCTCTCAGGGCTGCCATGCCCTTCTGAACATCCCCAGGCCCTTGACTTGGAGGCCAGCTTGGCCTCCAAGCCTACAGAGTCGCCTACAGAGGGTTACTTTTGGGGAAGGAGGAGAATTTGTTCTTAAAGAAAAGGAACAACAACAAAAAAGTCCCAATATTTTCCAACCTGGCCATAATAACAGCCCTCTGGCTTTGGTGCTGTGCTGATGCTGTGCTTGAAAGTGGTCCAGTCCTGCTGACGGACCTTCATCACGAGATGCATATTTTCCGCTGAACTTCCTGGGGAAAAGATAAACAGAAAAGAAATGCAAAAGGCAGGCCTGTGAGGCACAGCAGAGTATGATGAAATGTATCCCACTGAACTCGTGTGCGCTGCAGTCTCGTGCCAATAACAGGAGGAAAAGAAACAGAGCCAAAAATGGAGCATCCTGCTGCCTTTCCCTGGAGCCTGATCTAGTAACTGCGAGCAAGGTTAGGGCATGGAACAAAAGATATTTAGTTTTCAAACAAGAAGAGAGGAGCAAGGGAGGCTATGTGCAGACAGCAGTCCTCCTCGTGAGCCTGACTTTGTTCCCAATCTAATTTTATGTTTGCTTCTTGTCGAGTATGGTTTATGTTAAGGATATTACGGAGGAGGACCAAAAGGTGCCTGAATCCCTCTCCCTGCTCCTTTCAGATAATAGACAGCGAGAATGAAGCGCTGCTGGCGGCCCTCACCGAGACACTGGATGATATGCAGGGAGATGACATGGGCCTGGCTGCCTTCCGATCTATGGAAGAGGGGGACACGCTCAACCATGCCTACACCTCGCCTGCCCCCTCCCCCAAACCCACCGCCCTGGTCACGGGGGAGCCGCCCCCGGCCCCCGAGGTTGATGAGCTGTCTCTAGTAAGAACCCACTTCCTACTGTTTAAGGTGGATTTGGATGAGCCCCTGATAAGCCGGCTGCATGGGTATGATAGGAAGCAAAGGTCTGAATTTTTTCATTCTAGGCTTAAAACTCTCTTTAACCGTCAATACCAAAGCATATACTTGTATTGTATACGTATACATGTTCTGCATCATTGCTGTCACCTCCATCGCCATCCTCACGGGAACAAGCTGGGTGCTGCTGTGTGTGTTCCAGTATCTATTTAAGGGGCCGGGGTGGGTGCCACCCACAGGGGGTGTCACAAGGTGGGGGGTGGCATGGTGAGACCCACAGCCCCTGTTAATGCCAGGAGAGGCTGTGGGCTGCCTGGGGCTCCTTCCAGAGCATCATGGCCCTAAGGCCCACCCTGTATCCCCAGGACAAAGCTCCCGCTGCTCTCTAATGAGAGACAGAGGGGACTTAGCCTGAGTGCGAGTACTGCCCTCAGCTTGTAGGGGTGGGTGTAACCCCCCCATGCCTTCTCCACAGCTCCCCCAGGGCTGTGTGGCCTCAGTCCCTGTAGCCTGGAAACGGGATATCTCTTCTGGTCCCTGCATTACCAGGCTCGGCCCCGCTCCCTATCCCGGCCCGCTGCAGCATTTGCTGCAAATCTCTGCCATTCCCGGGAAGTCCATGGGGATGGGGCCACTTGTCCTGCTTCCTCCCAGGGCTCACGGCCCCCCCAGACCCCAGCCCTGCCCGGGGTCCCCCCAGCCCCACTGTCTGGTGGGGAGGAGTGACATCCAGTGGTGAGAGCGCGCATTTCCACCTCCCACAGTCCCGCGCGCAGGTGGGTGTATATATCACACACAGTATGTATGTGTATATATAGGATGTATACGTTGCAGGGGGAGGGAGAAGGTGCTGACTGCTTCCACCAACAGGAGCTGCACACCCACAGCCCTGGCTGATGCTCTGACCTGGGCACCCCCATTCCTATTATCCAAAAGATCCCAGTGCCTGATCCAGGGCACTTCAGATCTGTGCCTCCATGCAGTCCTGCAGAGGCTATGCGGTCGCCCTGTGCTGAGCCGCTGTTGCCTCCAGGTGCAGCACAAAATGCTGTTGCTGCTGCGTGTGGTGGGTTTTTTTCCTGACCAAAAAAAAAAGGTTTTTGAGCAGAAATGTTTTGCTAACCTGGCTGTCAGGAGAACTCCACTGTGACCTCAGGAGAACTCCACTCTGACCACCCTTTGGTTTGCAGTGGAGTCTCCGGGGAAGAACCTCAGCCCAACACAGGGGTTACATCCACACGGTGCTTTGCAAGCTCACTAATGAGCGGGGGCCTCGTTCTGGGTGTTACAGCTGAACGAGCCTTGGGGAGTACCCAAGACTGGCCCAGATCAGTCACCATGTAAATATGGACTCTGTCACAAAGGACAGAGCTGATGGATTGTGGCATGGAATATTACGACAGCTCCCATGTGGTTGGAGTGGGGATGGCTCTGGGAAGCAAATTCCCCTGCCCCACATCCCCACTGCCCTGTGCTGCTTCTGGGCATGAGGCTGTGGGCACTGGGAGGTGTGAGACCCCTCCTGCCTTTTTCCCCTGCTTTGGGAGCTCAGCACTGGGCACAGCCCGCAGCCCCCTGCGCGTGGTGCTCATTGGAGGAGATGCCATGCTGACACGCTCTCTCGACACTTCTCGTTGCAGCTGAAGAAATTGCTCCTCTCTCCATCGCCTCCGAGCTGTGAGGTGCAGAGGGATGGGAGCGCCCGGCGCCCAGGGACACCCAAATCCCGGCCATCTCGACCCTACACAAAGGTATTTCCTCAGTGGTGCATGCACAGAGAAGGGCCCTGAGCCCCACGGTGATGGAAACAGCATCACGGGGTGGTGGAGTGCCCTCTGCTTTCCTGTATGTCTCTGTGGGGCTCAGCAAAATGTGTGGGTTTGTTCTGCTTTGGGGGATAACCTAGTTTTATTTGGCCCAGTCCTCTACCAGTGTCACTGAGAGCTGCTGTATGGGAACTGCCCCTTGGCCCCCTCCCACCAGCCTGCACCCACCGTGGCACCACTGGGCCCAGGGAGCACTGCAGCACCTGTCCCCAGCCCCCTGCTGACCCCAGCAGAAGCTGCCGTCAGACATTTTTCTACTTGGGTAACGGTAATTAGGATGGGCAAATTAGACTGCCTAAGAGCAGCTGTAAAACTCTCTTGGGAAGGAGGAGCTCCGTCATCCTGATTGTCTCCACCATGCCATGTGTCTCTTCCCCCGCTCTCGATGCCGGGCCCACGTCCACCTGCGGGCGCGGAGCTGACGGCTGGCTCTCTCCTCTCCCAAGGTGGATGCTCCCCGGGACAGGCAGGCAGGCGCTCCGCAGAGCCGCAGCTGCACCGAGCTGCACCGGCACCTCACCTCCACCACCCCCTGCGCCCAGACCAAAGCCCCCCGCGCACCCGAGCAGTGCCACAGCGGCCACCACTACCCACCCGTGGGTGACTGCGCCCAGCATGAGGACGACAGCGACTGCAGTGAGGACTCACTCAGCTCCAGCGATGCGGTGCCCTCTCCTTCCTCGGCGGAGGACAGCTCCGACGGACGGTTCTCCTGCGAAGGGGGGCTGCACTCGGTGGTGGAGCTCATCCGCTACATGCACACCTACTGCCTGCCGCCCAGGAAGCTGCCCGCCCGTGACGCTATTGATGCCAGGCCCCAGCCCTGCAGCAGCCCCTTCAAGAGAGCCAAAGCAGACTGTGCCCTGCAAGAGAGCCGGCCGGGCTGCGCCTGGCACGCGGCTGGGGCCTGCCAGAAGCCCGCAGCCTCCTTCTCCATCCTGAAGGAGCTGCTGGCGCGGGACCTGCTGTGCGATGTCAGCAAGCCCTACCGGCTGGGCAGGCCCGTGTACGCCTCCCTGGCCCGACTGCCCCCCACCTGCTGCCCTGCAGTGCAGGCCCAGGACAGGGAGGAGGCCGGTGGAGCCTGCAAATCCAGAGCCAAAGCGGTGCCAGAGAAAGCAGAGCCACGGCACAGCCCTGGGACTGAGATGGAGGCAACGGGGGAGCCTGGCAGTGTGGAGGAGGAGGCCGGGAGGCGTGCAAGCACCCCAGGCACAGCTGCAGGGAAGGCGGCCCGCAGGCCCGAGAGCTCTGTTTATGCCGTCCGACGGTCCAAGAGACTCAACCCTGAGCTGGGCCACTGGCTGTCCTTCCTCGACGAGTCGCCCCCCGACTCCTCTGTGCCCCAGGAGGCCGCAGCCAGTGGGGAGCCCGTGCCGTGCCCGCCACTGGAGGCCTTCCCTGCTGAAGAGCCTGCGGCCGAAGTGGAGGTGGGCGGCACAGAAGAGGGAGATGGCGGGAGCGCAGTGCTGCCAGCAGAGCCCCAGCCCCTCATCCCGGCATCCCCGGGGGATGGTGAGAGCTGTGAGAGCCAGCGCTGTGCCCCCCAGCAGCGTGCAGGTGAGGGGTGGGGGTGACCCTCAGGTGCTAGCTGGCCGCGGGGTCCCACACGTGGGGAGCTGGGGACTGTTCTGGTGTCGGGGTGCTGTTTCAATCCGCTCCCACCTTGCCTCCTGCCTCAGTTTCCCCATCGTAATGGCAGGAAGAGGCAGCGGGTGCCGCAGCAGCAGCCCAGCAGACACTGGGCTGGACCCCTCTGGGGTTCAGCTGTGCCAGTGCCCCAAAAGCACAGCCGGCACAGCCTGTCTGTGGCAAGTGCTTTGTGTGCATGAGCGGCTCCAACCTGCCGGCCCAGGCCAGGCCACACCGTCCCTTGTGTGGATGCTATCACCTCACTGGCAGTGGCCCCAGCCCCGGCTCCCGCTGCCCCGCGCCGCTGCCTGCCCACGGGCGCTGGAGGGAGCGCAGCTCCGCCGGTAACCCTGCTTCTCCTGCCTTTCAGAAACACCCCGGTGTCTCACGCTGTCCTTGGCGCAAACGTAAGTGCACACAGGATCTGTGTCGACAGAACTAACCGCGCTGGGGCTGGAAAGCCGTCTCATTGTGTCCGGCTGGGCATGCCAAAAAGCAGAGGGATGTGCAGCGGGGCGGGGGTGTGGGAGCCATGCACATCGCCTGGGTGCAAGGGGCTGGGGGGCTTCAGGCCCTTGGGTGAGGACAGGTGCGTGGGGGATGTGTCCCAAGGTCTGGCTGCAGCTCATTCCCAGCGGTGGCAAAGAGGGCACGCTGCTTGTCCCAGGCACCGCCAGGCACTAGGAGTGGTGGGATAGTACATTTGTAGGCAGCATCTTCTCAGCCTCCTTTTTTATATTTCCTGACTGTATTCACTTACACACATTCTTTTCCTTCTTTTCTGCTGTTCTCCAGTGACTCTACTTTTGGGAAGAGAAACTCGGTGTCAATGCTGACCATGGAGCTGTGTGGTACAGCAGGTAGGATGGGCTTTTAATGTCTCGCTTCTCCTTGGGTTGGAGAACAGCCTGAGTTCAGCCTAGAGCTGCTGGTGCATTCATCTTGTGCTGTGGGAGCCTCCATCATGATCAGCCACGGGGATTCATAACACTGTGAGCAGCTTCTAGGCTCCATCTTTCTGAAGAACAGGCAATGCAGTAGGTGTTTGGATGTGGGGGCTGTTTAGGGGTCTGCTGCTTGGGCCAAGGGGGAGTGTGGTGGTCCTGCTGGGGATCCAGCATCCTTTTATCCCAAAGTGCCGGTGAGTGGATAGATGTCAATGCTGCTCATCCTTTGAGGTCGAATGGAGTGTGTCAGTTGGGGCAGAGCTGACTCCTGCTGACTCCTGTGGTTTGTTTGTCACGGGTTCAGGTCTCACGCCACCCACTACTCCACCGTACAAGCCTGCTGAGGAGGATCTGTACAAGCCAGACATGCCCCCGGAGACAGGCAAGGAGGACAGCACAGTCCCCAGCTCCAGAACTGGCAGCACAGGGGACACGGCCACCTTTCAGAAAACTACGAAGAAGCACCCTGAGAGGACAGAGCTCTTGGCCCACCTAAGCCGAGCTGCTGAGCAGTCAGGAGTGCTCAAGCGGCCCTTTTCACGCTCCTTTGGGGACCATGACTACTGCCAGGTGCTGAAGCCTGAGGGCACCCTGCAAAGGAAGGTGCTCAAGTCCTGGGAGCCCTCAGGCCAGATTGAGATGGAACACAAGAGGAGGGTCCCAGACACACACTACCAGGGGCTGGACCTTGGCAGCAAGGAGGCAGGTGGCGAGATGGTGTGGAAGGATGGCATCAAGCAGCTGAGAGATCAGGACATCAGAGCCAGTTTAACGAAGCACTTTGGTGTCCCGGACAGTCCTGTTGACGATGAGGACATGGCTTTCTGCAAGACCCCTGAGTATGACACTGTTTTTGACGACAGCTGCAGTGAAAGTGGCTCCCTGGTAGAGGAGGAGGAGGAGGAGGAAGAGGAAGAGGAGGAGGAGGAGCACTGTGGCAGCCCATTGGACACCAAGCTGTGCCTGCGGAGAAATCCCCTCTCCAGGACCAGTTTGCATTATTGCTCCCGGAGCAGGTCCAGCTCGGGGTCTTCGTGCTGCCGGTCCCGATCCCCCACAAGCAGATGCACTTTCAGGTACAGCTGGGCAGTGGAAAGGGCTGACAGCCCTCAGCAGCTGCAGGCAGTAGCCTGGGTCACGTGCTGTTGTAGAAGCTTCCTTTGTCCGTGGCTTGGGACAGTCCTGGGCCAGACTGGCTGTTGGCCTGACCCAGTGCAGTGGCTGTCTCCTCCCTTCCTGCTGCAGGAGGTCCTTGTGTGAATCTCAGGGCTTCCTGCTCCCAGCACCAGCCCTGATATCATTCCTGCTGTGCTTGGTGCACAAGGCTGTGCTCCCAGCACTATCCAAAGGCACTGTATGACAGCACTGGCTCTCTCTGGTCTGCTAGCCTGAGTCATAAAAATGCTAATTAATTAAAATCTATTGATATAATTGGTACTACAACAGCAGCTGCTGAAAATATCAGCCATAGCCAGAGAGCGGCACCTGGGGAAGTAATGTGGATTTCCACTGTGCTGGGAGCAACAGGCAGAGGCCGGAGCCATTCCTGTGAAGGGATATTATATTATATCATTATAATATAATATAATTACATAATTATATTATATATTATAATTAGAGCCCTCTTCTGGCATCAAGGAAAGGTCTTCCCAGTGTTGGAGCACAGCGGAATGCTCTGCATGACCCAATCTCTCCTCTGCTGCTAATAGTTCCCAGCGCCTAAGCTCCTTTCTGACAGCTGAAGCTTTCCCCCAGTTTTGGGCTGTCCCATTTTTGGGCTGACCTTGACTCTTGTGCCCTGCAGGTGTAAGAACAATGAGCGGTGTCAGGGTGGCAGCAGGAGCCGGGGCCAGCTTGAGAAGAAACAGGAAAAGGCCATCGTAAGTGAGCAGGGAGCTGCAGCCATGGGCACCCAAATGTGCACTGGGACAAAGAAACCCACAGCCCTCAGTGATCTATACTGGAAAAGCAGCACTGGAGCCCATTAGTTCTGGCTTCAGCATCATTTGGTGCAAGGCCAGTGTTAAACAAGGACATGGTGGGGGAAGAGAGAAAATCTAAAGTAAAGTAGGAGCAATTGGCAATTGGCAATATGCAGAGTCCTTGGCACAGAAATACCCAGAGCATCCCACGTCAGCGCTCCATTGTGGAGCTGGCAGCTGGGGTGGTGAACTGGGGAATCCTTGGAGCTGCCCTACCACCACCACTGCTGCAGAGGCAGCTCGGGTGCACGAGTGTGTGGCAGGAATGGGATGTGCAGGGACATAGCTGCTGTTCCTCTCTACTGCCATGCATATATGCATATGTTCACACCTGCCCATCTGGCATCATTTTACTGCAGCATAGTTGAATTTTTCCCCCAGTTGTTTCAGGAATATTCCCTGATGACTTTACAACGATGAGCTGCAAACGCCAGGGGGGGTGCAGGAGGCACTTAATGAGAGTAAGGGGCGTTAGCTGGTGGGCTGGGAGCCAGCAGCACTGCATGGTCAGGGTGGGGGCTCCTGGCACTCCGTGTTTCCAGTATCCGTCGGCAGCAGTGGAGGTGTGGGTTGGAAGCCTGAGACCTGTGGCTTGGTGCTGGCAGGGGGAAGGCCGGGTGGTGTACATCAGGAACCTCTCCAGCAACATGAGCTCCAGCGAACTGAAGAAACGCTTCGAGGTGTTCGGTGAGATCGTGGAGTGCCAAGTCCTGTCCAGGACTAACAGGTGGGTGGCGAGGTTCCTGTGCATGGGGGTCTGCACCGTGCCCATCCCAGCCCGGTCCGTGGGCACATGGCACAGAGCAGAGTCACATTTGCATGGCTCTGGAGCCTGACACAACTCCACTTCTTTCTCTGGTTGTTCAGAGGGGATAAATACGGCTTCATCACCTACCGGTATTCAGAGCACGCCGCCTTATCTCTGAAGAACGGCACCTCGCTAAGGAAGAGGAACGAGCCTTCCTTCCAGCTCAGCTCTGGTAGCCTTGGGAACTTCTTCTGGACCAGATACACTGACTTAGGTAAGAAGGCTTCCTCAGAAGCATCCTGTTTATCAGCGTGTTGCGGTAACAGCACTGCATCTTTGTCATGCAAGAATCCTAAAGCTTTTCCAGCCTGCAGCAAAAGCCCACCTGCTCTGGCACAGCTCACACAGCTGTTCTTAGCTCAGTTGGATGGCTTTGGGTGCCAAGGGCAGGAGGATAGCAGCTTGTGGGAGGACCCCAGAGTGTGCGGGCCACAAAGCACAGCGTTCCAGTCCAGGGCCACAGGATCTCAGCCAATGCACAGATCATCCTTTCCCATCTGTGTTTCTGCTTGACACTTTCCAGCAGAGATCTCCCTTCCCTGTCATTAGAGAAAGCAGTCAACAACAGCTCCAAAATGTGATCTGAATTATTTGCTGCTTGACAGGACAATATCCCCAGCATTGCGTATGTACTTTTCATCCAAAATGATAAGGAAATGCACTGTGGTTGCGTTAACTGTATTGGTGCTGTGTGGATTTCTGCAAGCACACACTCTGCTCTCCATAGGCCCCTGCCTGGATTCAGTCAGGCTCACTGAGCCTCACTCCTCAGCCTTTGCTAATGGACAGGAGCGAAACTGTGCTGATTCTGAAAGAGAAACCTGATCCAGCCTTGCTTGGCTCTTGTTACTTTGACTCTCGAGTGTTTCATGAACAGTACAGGTTAATTTCTGCACCCTCTGCAGTAAGTGAAGTGGTTCTATCTCACTTCATGCACAAAATAAGGCAGTCCTGCTCCATGCCCAGAAAATAAAGCCATACATTTTGATTTCCCCCTAGGTGCCCAGTCTGACACAAGTACTGCCTGATCCCTTAGCACCTTGTAATACTTCATTTGCTCAGAGCAGTACTCCAATTTTGGTTGTGGGTGCAAACGCTCATTATTCATGTAATAAACCCCAAGATCCTTCATTCTGGGCTCTGAGGAGGTAAGAACCAGCATGCAACACATGATGAAAGCACTGGCTGTGCTATGCTGCGGGGAGCAGAGCTACAGGGACCCCAGCATGGCTCCCAGCTCTTGCAAAAAATGTGCACACGAAGGGGTTAAGCTGCTGCTAAATGAGGCTGCCTTATTTCTGGCATTTGCTAGATGTGGCAGGCTTTGTCATGGCACTCTTTGTTCAGCTTCTGATGCAAGAGAAGGGGAGCTCCACAGGCAGACGCCCACGCTTGCCGTGACCTGGTTGCTCACGTGGGAACTGCCACACTTTGGGGACTCAGAACCCGTCTGGATCTGGCAGTTTTTGTGAATTTCTGACATCTAACCTGACCTGCGAGAGCCTCTCCACCAAACACCAGTTTGCTCCTTTTCAATGGGGACAAACAGCCCATTTTCCCACTTTCTCTCATTCTGGGATATGGGATAACAGCGGCACGTTTGCAGGCACCCATCAGGGGAAACACCAGCTCAGGTGCTTGGTGCCTGCCAGCACGGCCAGGGCTCAGCAGTGTGATGGCACAGGGAGCGTGGTGCCTGGGCGTCCAGCCATCCCTGACCCATGTGCTGTGTCCTGCTCTTCCCAGATGGCAGCGTGGAGGAGTCCTCCCCGGCGCCGGTGAAGAGCAAGTATGAGACCATGGATTTTGACAGCTTGCTGCAGGAGGCCCAGCTAAGCCTGCATCGGTAACAGCCTTAACCTTGGAGGAATACCTCAATACCTCAGTCAAGGCACTTCCAATATGTTTACGTTTTCAAAGAAATTATTCAGTCTATGACAAGCGAGAGAGAGCGAGAGAGCGAGAGCACGCACGCGCGAGAGAGAGACTGCTGTCCCTTTCAATTGATGTTTACATTGAACAAAGCTGCTTCTGTCTGTGAGTCCCCATGGTGTTGATGTCTCACTGCCACACAATAGTCGCCCCGCTTCTGACTGGTTGTTTTTGGGTGAGCCTAGGAGCCCCCGGCCCCTCTCCCCCGGCTCTCGCCGTGGAGTTGCAGCTGTGTTCACCATAACATTTTTTGTCCGTAGTGTGTGATGATGAAATTGTTAATTGTGAATAGAATCAGGATTATAAACTAATTTTTAATAGAAGAAGAAAAAAGAAGTATATACTTAAAGATGTATTTATGGCTCAAATGTACTGTAATTCAGATTTATTGTACCGCTTCCTTGATTTTTAACTATGCACTGTAATGAGGCACTTGCCACTGAGCAAATGGGGGTCAGAGCAGAGCCCCAGAGCCAGCGTTCGCCCTCTGCCACGAGGCCGCCCGCCTCCCCGCCGGGTCACCACTTTGCCGTCAAAGCCATTCTCCTCGTTGGGGCCGAGCCCCGGCCCCCAGCTGCCGAGAGGGGCCACGGTGTGGGCATGAAGGGAAGGCTGGTGAAGGAGTGGCACGACCACCTCCGGGCATCCCCGCTCCAGCCTGCCGTGTGCAGGGCACGGCAGCTCCATGTCTTTGCCCTCCGACACGCTGCCCATTCTGCAGCCGGTGCCCGATAAGCCATACACCCACCCAGCACCCGGTTGGTGAGCCGGATCCGTGCCCACCGCCGGCGCGCTCCGTGCTGCTGCCTCCGTGCCCAGCAGCGTGAAGGAAGCGTGGCAGCTTTGCTGAGTCTGTGGCTCCTGGCTGGCCTGCCGCTGCGTGCTCCAACCCCTGCCTTTTGCCAGGGGCCAGGGCCGCCCGGCACCACTGGATATAAGGCATGCTCAAGCAGCGTCCCCATGAAATTTGCTTGCAAACTTGTTCCCCACCTCTGGGAAAGGTGGGAGCGGGAGAGACCCCAGCCTTGGTTGGAGGGATCCCAACCGAGAGCAGGCCAGGGGGAAAGGAAATCTCCCTGGCTCCTCAAGCCATCTCCATCACCCTCATTTGCTTTCTGGACACAGAGATCATTAGGGATTTAGCCATTCTTTGTAGATAGAATATATAGCCTTAACTCTGCCAATAGATAGATTAGAGTCTTCTGGGGTCTCCCTGGTACGCGACTTAGGGTTTTTATTCTCATTTCCTCAGTGTGGATGCCATTTCATCTTGCAGGCAGTATTACCAAAGCCCCCAAAACTGCAGGAGGTTCGGTTCCAGGAGCACTGCCTTGCTGACACAGCCTGCGGCTCCAACCCAGGCCTGTCCCTGACAGAAAGGCTGCCAGCAGCCATGCGACAGCACCAGTAAGGCAGTGACACAGCTCCACTGGTTCCCACACCTGCCACCAGAGCCGGCCGTGTCCTTGTGCCACTTGGCTCTAAGCCCAGAGCAAGGGCAGAGGTCTCTCCTGCCACAGGCTGTCCCCATCCTATCCCCAACCCAGCATACACGAGTAACCCTGGCCGAGACTGAGCATCTGCTATTGGCAATTGCCTCATTGTAGCTTTGCCTTTTTCTGTCCTAGTATTTCCTCACAACAATGATGTTTACATGTGATTGCTATAGAGCTTATGTAGAATGTATATAGCGACACATTTAGGGTGGGTAGTACTGTCCTGTGCTGTGCTGATGTTTTTCAGAAAACGATCAATCCAAAAAAAAGAGAAAAACAAAAAAAAAGGCCAAGTGGAATTCTTCCATCTCCTCCTTGCTCAGCCATGGGAGCAAGCCCTGGGCTGCTCTCAGCTGGAGGATGCATCAAGCCTGGCAGAGGGGAAGGGTAAGCACGGTGGGGCTGCTGGGTCCTCGAGGACCCCACTGGGGCAGCCTCCAGGTGCATTGCCAGCCTTGGTTTCTGTGAGCCCCCAAAAACATCCAAAATTTGATGTTGCTTTCCTGCGGCTTCCCGTGCCATCGCAGCACTTCTGCACAGAGGCACGGTGCTCCCTGCAAATGGGAACTTTGTAACGCACAGAGCCAATCAGTACTGCAGTCGTAGGATAGGAAGAGATGCAATAAGTGGTCTTTGTGTTGCCTGAAGCCTATAAGTGGATTTTTTGTTGAGGTTTGGGGGTTTTCGGTTCTTTTTCCCCCTCCCTTGAATTTGGACGGCTCATTGTCCCTCTCCCCTTGAGAATCGTCTCCTGCACTGATGCAATACGCACACAGGTGCTCAGGCACCCTCCTCGCCAGCCCCCATGCCTCCCCCCAGGTTAGGATTTGGTGAGCGCAGAGCGTTTCAGCCTGAGAAGCACAGGTGTGGCTGCCTGCCGGCTGGGTTTAGAATCTCTCAAGCAGGGGTAGTGGTGAAAAATAAGTTTCCACTGGAGTTTTATTTTTTTAACGGAAAGGTTTTGTTTGCTCACAGCGCCCAGGGGTGAGGAGGGGCCAAGGAGAGCTCGCTCCATTCAGGGACTGAGGCTGCTCTGGGTGCAGGGAAGGGCTCTCGCGCCCCTCACCGCTGGGGCACAGCCCAGAGAATCTGGGAGCAAAGGGTATTTTAAGGTAGGCAATAAGTAAGGAGGAGATTTATTTTTCTAAGAAGTATATAGCTCTAGAATGTCCCCTGATAGCTGCCTGTGAGTACTGTGGGGAGATACTAAACGTGAAGAGTTTGATGATGAAATGCCGTTTCGCTTTTTTTGCACAGATCTGCCCCGTAAAATCTTGCTGTTCAGGATGGGATACCAGGTTTCCTGGCTGGAATCCAGCAGGTTCCTGGGGCTCCATAGGAGAGGAGCCGATGTTTCTGAGTCTGGGCTGAATGCAGAGGACAATCCCAGGTGTTAGGTTTGATGCTGCCCCAAAGATGAGGTTCACCCCGACTCCTTGTCAGCACAGCTCGCTGGGTTGCGCGCCTTCCCCACAGGAGCAGCAGCTCAGGCGCTGCGTTGCAGGCCGAGTGTCTGACTTCAGCGCTGGTCCATGTGGAGCTGCATTACAGACCAGCGTTTGGATCGTTTTGAATCGTATTCTTTCTTTTTGGCATTGTGCTGAATGACGAACTCCATCGTTGTTCGTAGCTGAGCCCTGAAGCCCCTTCTGTTCTATCTCCATCTGTCCCAGCAATCTCAAGCAATATGAACCAAACTCAGCCTTCGGGCTCCATTCCTCATCCCCGGAGCCGTCGCAGCGCGGCACCGCCAACACCGCGTGGCCGGGGGCCGAATGCATGTGAGAGAGAGGAAGGTGAAAGCGATGCATTTCTCAAGAAAGGTGTAAGAATTTCACCTAAAAAGGGGCACATCTGCTTTGTTATTTATAATAAAAGCTAATTTTTTTTTTTTTAATTAACTAAAAGGACACTGCTGATAATTATTAGGGGCCAGTTCTGCCCCCTTCCTCGTGCTGAGTAAGTACTGCTTAACTCTGTGATTTTCTGCTTGCAGAGTAAGTCGGAGTGGCAGAGTTGATCCCTCTGTGATTAAGAATCAAGTTTTTAGTCTGATTTTTTTTAATTGGTAGCGGTTTTTTATATTTCACTTTTTTGTTCCCCCCCTCCCAGTTCCGTTCCGTTGTGTCCTTATTTATGTAATATACTTTAACCTTAAAAGATGGCATGGATTCCTATGCCTTTCCTTTATTATTATTATTGTTATTATTTTTAAACAGAGATTTATTTCTAGTGTGATTTAACTGTCTACCTTCTAAAACGAGAGAACGTTTTCTTGTATTTTTACATTGTCAGATTCTATAGTTTCATAGATAATTTAACCAAATCGCTCGATGTATTATCTATATCTATCCAGTGGGTATAAAAGTTCTATTTTAAATTGTGTAAATACTTCAGAACTGGCTTCTTTTTCCAGACTCCCCTGCCGCGGAGTTACTTGTTTACATCACAAAGACTGTAGAATCTCTACGCTCATGTACTGTAAATAGTGAAGTGATCTGCCTATAAATAAACGATAACATATATACTACAAACTGGGAAACAAACCGATCACGAGCAGTGAGTCTGTGCTGCTGTCAGGGTACCAAGCAGGTGTTCCGTGCAGCAGGATGTGGCAGTAGGCTGGTGTGCACTGGCCTGGCTGTGGGGACGTGGGGTTGTGTACAAACTCCAACAGTTACACTCATCCATTTGAGAAAAAAACAACAGAAACAAAAAATTACAACAAAACCAGCACAACGGTTTTCTGTTTTGGCATAGCTTTCTGGTAAACCAACTTCTTCTCACACACCTGGGAATGCATTTGTAGCTTCAGTGCCTGCTCTATCAGTCAGGCAAAACCAGACAGCAGGCACAGCTTGCCCTGTGGGAGGGAGAGGGGCCAGTGACTGGCTGTTGTGCACGGGGACAGCCTCTGATGCTGACCTTGGCTGGCTGGAATCAACGAGGGCAGCATCTTCAGCATCTTCTGAACACCTGACCTTGAGCAGGGCTGGCTGTGCTCTGAGCTCCCAGCCCAGCAGGGGAACTCAGCGCTGGCACTGTAAGGTCCCGGTCGGGGCTCTGGAGCCCACATTTGCCCACTTGGGATTTCTCCATCTTGACTTGGCCAGATCTGACGTGTGTCTTCAGAGGGAAGACTGGGGAAGGCTTTGGTGTTTTTTTTGCCTCTTGTCAGCTCAGGGACCTCTGCCTTACTCTCCCAGTGTCACTGACCTCTGCCAGCAGCTGCTGCCTGTCTCGCCCATCTTGCTGTTCTTTGCCCTGCCAAACTTTGCTCTCTCTGTACACCAGCTGTGGATGCTGTCTATACTCTCTATGAGCTTTTAGGGGCTGGTGGAGAGCTTGCTCTAGATGCTGCCCCTTGTGGGTTCACAATCTGTTCCTTCTTTCTCTCCCCCTCAGTCCTTGGCTGGATACATTTTAGTTTTTCATATACCATCTCTACCTCTAAGTACCTCTTCAAACTCACGCTTGGAGCCCTCACACTTCTCAGCAGCCTCCTGCAGGTAAGAAGATACCATTTCCCAACTAGTCCCTCTCCTCAAATGCCCACCTCAGTGCTGGGTGGGGGTGAGGCTGCTGTGCCTCAGGCTCTTGTTGCCTGCATGGCACAGTGGGCTACACCCAGTGTTGGCTGAGCAGACTCTTGAGGAGCCATGCAGCAGGAGCACATCTGCCCTGGGCGAGCCACAACAGCTCAGCAGCAGCTGCAGTGGGTGAGGTGCAGGCAGAGCACTCTTGCAAATGTGCTGGGGCTCTCTGCTTGTCTGAGCATCTCTGCTTCCCTTTCAGTTTGACATCCACAAGGACCCACATGTGCAGAGCACTGAAGAAATGGCACAGGATGCTGAGCGGAGCCGTGTGGGGTTATGCCCTCCACCAGCCTGTGGGGCAGCAAAAGGATCTCCCCACTGCCTTCACAACAACGATCGTTTTAGAGGGAAACCATCTCCACTGCAGCAGTGCACGTGTCCTGAGTGTAATCCTCCCAAAAAAGGAGCACGAGGTGCCCCAGGTTCACAGCAGTACCCTGGAGCACAAAGGATTTACTGCCCATGCAGAACACACTGCTCCAGGGCGCAGAGAGGAACTAGATTTGCCTATACCCTGCCACACTCCAACCATGATTTGTATCTGCTCACGTTGAGTTGTATCACAAGGAGCCTTCATTTCAGTGAGTTTGCAAAATATCAGCATCTGCCCGGAGAGAGGCAGTGCAAGGATTCAGCTCACTGCTGCTGCGTGGGCAGTGAAAGCCTGTGTTCTCATCACCAACATCTCCATCCCTCACTGCAAGCCACTCATTTCAGGTGCAGGCAGGAACTCAGCTGTCCAAGGAGAACAGAGAACCCGTGCTCCCTACAGGTTGGCGGGGGAAGGCACTGCAGCAACGAAGCGCCTGGACCAGAAGTATTCCTCCCATGGCCAGCCTGGCTCCGGTTGGTACACGTGGCTGTTCTGAGGGACACACAAGACGTGGGGATGGGCTGTTGCTGCCATGCCAAGGAGAACAGAGGCCAAAGAAGAATTGAAAAGCCTGTTTGGCTGAAGCAGCACACTGTTGTGCCATGTGGGTCACCATGCAAACAGCCCAGGAGATAACAGCAAATTATTTACAGTGGTCATTACCTGCAGCTTCCAGAACCTTCTGGCTATCTAAACTCCTGAAGAAAATTAGGGAGATGAATTCTTTCTTCAGTGAAAAGATTAATAACTCTAATTAATTGAGGGTAAGAAAACCATATTTCAGGGCAGTGCTGAAAAAATAAACTATAAACCCTACAGAGGAGCAAAAAGTAATGATAAAGGACCCTGAGCTTTTGGGAATGACAAGAATACAGAAGTGGGCCAAGGTCACAAGAAAGCTTGGGGAGCATGCAGTGGGCTGATATGGAGGGAAGAATTGCACCCATCCGCACCAGCTGCAGTGCATGAAACAGGACTGGGAGTTGAATATCATCAGGAGGAGGTTTGTATGATAAATTCCTGTAAAATAAGCATCTACTGCTCCTCTGGGCATTTAACTGAGCACAAAGCACTTGCCCGGACGCTCTGCACCAGCCCCTGCAGACAGGTTGCAGCGAGGGCTGTGCCACCAGGGGCTGCAGGGACAGTTTGTGCTTGGACATTGCTACTGACCGTGGCCAACAGCTTCTGGTAAGACAGGAAGGGGGGAGTCTTGACTGTTTCAGGCAGCTGCGGGCTACATGGAGAAACAATACTAGGAAAGAGAAAGGGAAAGCATGTGACAGAAGGGTAATTTCTGCACATGTGTAAATCAAACCAATTAAAAGCAACTAGAACCAGGTTCTAACGTGATTTTCAGCTTTAGAACAGAGTTGATTGGAAAGCTCCTTTTTCTCCAAACCATTAATTTTATTCTCTTTTTTTTTTTTTTTTGGAGAGAAGGTTGTTGCAAAACACCAGGATCTCATGGGCCATTGCAGGTTTTTTAAGCAGGAAGTCAATCTAACTTCAAATTTGATGCTCCATTCCCTGAGATACTTCTTTCTCTTATCTATCTCCTCTTTAAGAGAAGCCAGTGACTGGCTGTTGTGCACAGGGACATCTTCTGATGCTGACCTTGGCTAGCTGGCATCTGCCCAATGAGGGCAGCATCTTCAGCATTTTCCAAATGCCTGACCATGAGCAGCATCCCTCTCACAGGATCTGTCAGCTCCATGTCAGAGCTCTGAGAATGGCTGTGACAGCAAATACATGGTTTGAAAATGTCTTTGGTGCTGCCCTGTTGTATGAGCCACGTCTGCTGGAGTGGCTTCAGATGTGCCAAAGGGAAAGGTTCATGAATGCAGGAGCCAGGTGCTTGTGTCCAGAGTGGAGGAGTGCAGCAGTGCTGTTAGTGGGAAGGCAGAAGCTGTTGGTGAGAGGAGCAGAGAGCAACTTCTTCAGTGAGATGAAGGCAGAGAGGAAACAAACATTGCAGGAGCAATAGGTGCACTGAGTTGGAGGACTGTTTGTGGTAATGATCAAATCCCAGGCAACCTCAATCTTGTAGGTGCAGTATTTGCTGCTCCACTTGGATATATATAAGACCATAGGACCCCATGGCATTCATCCCAGGGTATTCAGAGAGCTGGCCAGTGTCATTGCAAGACCTCTCTCAATGATTTTTCAATGGTCTTTGGAGAAGTTCCAGGTGATGGGAAGCTGTCAAACTTTCCAGTATTCAAGAAGGCCTAGACAGAAGACCCTGGTAGTTACAGGCCTGTCAGTCTCCCTTCAGTGCCTGGTAAAATTATGAACAAAATTATGCTGGGAGTTACTGAAAAACACTTGCAGGACAATGTGGTCATTGGTCACAGCCAACACAGGTTCCTAAGGGAAAGGTCCTGTTTATCTAACTTAATTTCCTATTATGACAAGGCCATCCACCTAGATGAGGAAAGGAAGTCAGCTGATGTTATCCTTTTGGATTTCAGTAAAACTTTTCATACTGTTTCTCACAGTATCCTTCTGGAACAGCTGTTCCAGCATATAGTTAGACAAAAACACCAGGGGTCACTTCCAACTCAGGATCTTCTACACATGATATCTATATGACTCTATGATTCCATTCTTTGTACATGTCCTGTTTTTCTCCCTGTTCTTACATCTGCTCCAGGACCTTTCAACACACCCATAGGAGCAGAGGAGCAGCTCAGCCCCAGGCATTGCCACCTATCAGCATCAGACCACCAGAGCTGGGTACGGCCTGAAGGCCTGCACAGAAATACAGAGAGAAGAGAGGGAAGCGGCTCTTAAATAAGGTGCCTCCATCCTCCTCTCTCCTCTGCTCCTGAAATGCTAGAGCATTTCCTCCTCCCAGGTAACAGTGATAAAACAAGACGGGGTGGCCTTCAGTTGCACCGGGGGAGGTTCAGGTTGGATCACAGGAAAAATTGCTTCTCAGAGTGGAGATGCCCTGGCACGGGGTGCCCAGGAGGGCTGCAGTCACTGTCCTGGAGGTGTTCAACACCTGTGGAGATGCGGCACTGAGGGCTGTGGGATGGGACAGTGGGAATGGTGGCAAAGTGTTGGGGTTGTACCTGATGATCTTAGAGGTCTTTTCCAACCTCAATGATTCTGTGCTTGCCTCCCTTCTGTTTCCAGGAGGAACAAAGGTCTGACTCAAATGCTGAGGGAAGGTGAGAACTTGGGCAGTGCTGGAGCAGGGAGAAAGTGACACGGGGCCATGCTTTGAGGATGGAGGGCCCCAGATGTCATCTCAAGAAATTTCTAGAAAGGACCGACAGAAAGAAAAGTGAAACCGGCTACAGATGGAAGCCGAGGGCCGCACCTCTCAGCCGCCGCTCTTCCCGTTCCAGGAGGGCTGCCTACTTGCTGCGCTCAGCTCCGGCGGCGGCTCTGGGGAATCCCCAAGGGGCCGGGCGGCCCCGGCAGTGCAGGAAGCAGAGCTGTAAGCCGAGGGGGCACCGCGCCCTCCCGGGAAGTGCCGGCAGTTCCCAGTCCCCGCCCAGCCAGCTCAGCGCCGCGGCTCTTTTCGGCCCGGCCTTCGCCCTGTTGAATCGTGCGTTTGCAGACGCCATGGCGGAGCCGCGGGTGCTGAAGGCGTTACAGGAGGAGCTGATCTGCTCCGTCTGCCTGGACGTTTACAGGAACCCTGTGTCCCTCAGCTGTGGCCACAGCTTCTGCGAGGAGTGCATCCAGGGGCTGCTTCGCAGTCAGCGTTGCCCGCAGGGCCTCGTCAGCTGCCCGCTGTGCAGCGCCCAGGAAGCCCTTCCTACGAAGCTGCAGCCCAACATCCAGCTCCGCAGCGTAGTGCAGAAGTTTTTGGACACCAGTGAGCAAAATGCCGCTCTTGAAGAGAAACTAAAACGTGAAGTGGAATGTGAAGAGAAGGGAGAAAGTTCGGACCTGCATGATGAGGAGATCATGTGTGATTTCTGCCTTGAGAAGCCTCAGCCAGCAGTGAAGACGTGCATGAACTGCGAGACCTCCCTGTGCCAGGCCCACCTGGGCAAGCACAGCACAAAGGCTTTCCTGACAAGCCACGTCCTGGTGGAGCCCTGTGATGCTCGTGTTTTGGCAGAAAGGAGATGCGCCCAGCATGGCAAGCTGCTGGAATGCTACTGTGTGACGGACTCGGTCTGTGTCTGCATGCTGTGCTGTGCCACCAGCTCCCACAGGAGCCATGAAATCATCAGTGTGGAGGAGGCTTTTGGCCAAGCACAGGTAAGGGGCTGCTAGGACAGCTGCCCAGACTGAGGACGCTTGAGGGAAAACCTGGGGATACGGGATATGGAGAGCTGCCTGCAGAGTGAGGCCTGAACAACTCCTGGGATTCAGGTGTGCAGGCTCCCATCTTGGGATACGTGGCTTTGGGTGTGGGCTTTGCTCCAGGTTGCCTCTGGGCTTGCTCCTTGGGCTATAAAACAATCTCCCGAGCGGTCGGTGGGACCGAGTGTTTGTGGCTTTGCTTTTAGTCCTCACTGCATCTTCAAACAGGAGTATCAGCCTCAGTTGCGTTTGTGCAATGAAAATTGATGGCAGCATAACAGAAAGGAAGCTGCTGCCACCAATAAAAAGTAGCTTTTCGTGTGGCTGTTGTGTATGAACAGTTTTTGTTTTGAGAGTATCTTCCCCACACTCATGATCATGAGTTCTGTCCAGGGGCAGAATCTCCCAGTAAAGCTTTTATGCGCTGATTTGTCGTGAGAGCAGACAGTGAACAAACTTCTGGGTCTGACCCCCCCCACCTCCATAACATTGCCCATCTTGTGCCCTTATGTCTGTACCTCATACCTCGCTCTTGTTGTTTTCTCAGAGTGATTTCCCTAAAACTGTGAAAACACTGAAAAAACATGAAGCTGCAGTGAATAAAAACTTGGAAAATCTGCTGTCACAACAGGAGAAGATAAAGGTTTGTTCCACAATCCCATAGCACTTAGAGGGTGGTTTATGCTCATAGCTGATCAGGGTTGTGTTGGTGTTTTTTTTTCCCTTTCCTTGCCCCTGGATCTCCAAGCTTTTTAGTTCCTGGTTAGTTTCTCAGTTACTTTCTTGGTTTCCCCTTTGGAGTCTGATGAGCAGTTTTCTTGTAAGACTGGGAAGTACATTTTCAGATTACAGAGGATAGATGAACTTGAATGCTGCTGTTGAGGCCATGCTTCCTCTTAGGTGGGTGGCGATTTCTTTTTCCAGCTTTCTTCAATTTGCATGCTCTAAAATCTTTAGGGGAAAGATATAAACCATCTTACAGTGATTTTAATCCTCTTTACAACAAGCAATCCTATTAGGCTAGCCTGTGCATCTAAGAAGTTGGTAGATGGGAGGTTAAAAGACCGTCCCAAAGTGTTTTGAATTTTTTGGCATGCAAATGTACTTGACTCCTTCCACCGGTAGAAATGATGGGGCTGTAAGTAGTGGAAGTCCTGGCACCAGACAAGGGAAGTACTCCCTTGTTGTCTGAAGGCAAAACTGTACTGTTGGCAGTGTCCTGTTTGGGGCAGCACAGCTTTTTGCTAACAGTGAAGGCAATTTGGTGGAGGCAGTAAGCAGTTAAAGCATTCTTCCTTACCCTTCTTTAAAAGAGCAAAAGAGAACATATCCATGGAAAACTACCAGTGCAGAAAAAGGAAAGATGCATAGCAGAAAGCCTTAAGCAAGCTTAGTGCAAGAACTGCTACTTAGTCATTGGCAGCATCATTCTGGTGCTCCTGAAAGCACTGAACTTCCCAGTATTGGAAACCCAAGGAAAGAGGAGCTGGAGTCTATCCAAAGGGAATGAGACTATTCCCCAGTTACTGCTACCAGGTGTTCTGTCGTCAGCTGCCAGATGCAGGAGTAGGGCACCTATGTCAATTGGCCCATCTGCTGTCAATGAGACATCTTGCTATGTTGCTATGTGGAAGAAGTAAATGATACTTCTCTAAGTGCAGAAAAGATCAGGCTCCTTTCTAAGTGAGAGAGAGTGTGGAAAGTGTAACATTCCATCCCTAATAGTTTTGCAAATATTTTCTCAAAAGGCATTGGAAAGATTGCACAGGAATCATGTGGAGCACTCCTTCAGGTTGATTTGTGAGCAGCTGGATAGAAGCAAAACAGAGATCCTGGGAGCCATCAGTGACATTGAGGAGCAACAGCTTTCTCAGATTGAGCCGTGGATAAAAGAACACAAAGAGATGAAGGATGCTGCCAGCCGCAGTGTGCAGGAGTTGAAGGCTCTGAGGGATCAGAAGGATCCAGTACTCTTCCTTAAGGTACATAACAGCCCTTCCCAGAGATATTGCAGCACTTGTGTTGGCCTTTGTACTGTGCTAATCCTGCTTTCATAATGCCTTTTTTACAGGGTTTGTCAGCAATACAAGCCAGGTAAGTTCTTCACTGGTGGTCTGCTGTTGCATTTCACTGAGCTGCTGATGGCTGTCAATCCCTCAGTCCCAGGCTGTCTGCCCACCTGGCACACAGGGCAAGCCCAGCTTCCCAGGCTTATGCTGGGCTCATGACGGCTGCCAGTTTCAGCACACTGATGCATGCTTGGCACCTTTCTCCTTCAGAGACCTGAAGAAGCCCCAGAATTTTCACTGATATCGTGTGTGAATCTCCGCATACAACATGACTGACTTTTCTGAACCATCAGCACCCATTCCTGTGACCAGCTTGGGGCAGTTTGTGAATATTGAGATGCCTGTGCGGACATGCAAAGAACAGATGAGCTTAGATAGTCAGAGTTGTCCCCAGCACTGCATTGCCCTCTGCTTGGCTCAGTTGTTCACTCAGCATTGGGATTGGTAACATCTTCCCATGACTCACTGCTGTTCTGATGCCTTTCTGTATGTTCTAGGAAGAGGAAACAAGTTCCTAATAAAGATGGCACAGAACTGGCAGAGCAGCTCACTATTATGGATGAATCAATGAAGAACATCATTCAAGAGCATTTCCAGCCTTATGACCACTTAATCTTGGATGCAGAGTCCTCAATGGAATCGTCATTTGGTAAGTGATTATTTCACTAAGTAAGAGGTAAGACAGAGAATCAGCAAAGCATATTTAAGAAAGGGCTGTAAAAATACAGCAAGTACACCAAGTTCCTCTAGAACTGATTGCTGACACTGCATTTGATTATTTTCACGTATGTGTGCAACAAAAGGAAAGCTTGCTCTGGGCATCAGCGCTGTGGGACTCGGAGGCACCCCAGTACAATGAGCTGTGGGTGGTGAGGTGCAGATGTCTAGGAATTTTCTGAGAGGACAAAGAGAAGAGTGTAGCAACATCTCTTCTGTCACTAGCATCAAAGTGGCACAGGAGAGATGAGCACTCCACAGCAGCAGGTGGAATTTGTTTACAAATATAAATGATTTGCTCTTTCTATCTAAATAACTGTACTCTTTTGTGCTGTTTTAAAGGATCAGCATACTGATGTGCTGTGCGCTGTAGGATCTTGTCCAGATGAATTAAAAAAAGTTCTGGTTCCCATGTTCTTGCCCTCTTGAGCAGACTTTTGTAATTACCTATCCCATTTGAGCAGTTTTAGTTGCCAGCTCACAGCTACTGAACGATAACTTACAGAGTGAAAAAAGCTGCAATACTGAAATACATTACTTGCAAGAGATAGTATGAAGGAAAACAGGGCAGGATTAACTGTGTGGCAGCCAATGCTTAGGGCTTTTTTGAGAGCTCTAGGAAATGGCTTCAAATGAAATAAGCAAATAATTTTATAAAACGTTTGCATACTTGTGCGTGGGGATTGATCCAGAGAGCGTTTTAGAACACATAATGAAGCTCTGCGGGATAATGGTGAGGGAGTTGCTGCAGTTGGAAACAGAAAGCAAAAGTTGTGTTAAAATTGTGAAATGGAAGTACTTCTTGAAACGTGATATTCACTCCCTTTAGAACTCTGTAGGAGTAGCTAAGAGAGGTGCAGAGAGTGTACTTAATGAATACACTTTTAATAACTTTGGGTTCAAGATTTCTTTCACCTTTGTTTCCAGCAATGGAGATGTATGTTGATCTGCACAACCATCTGTGAACCATAACGTGGTTTTTTTTGTTTGTTTTTGTAGCTCATGAACATCTGACTTTCAAATCACGTCAAGCATGTGGACTACATGTAGATGACACGGTGCTCAGAATAGCTGGGCCATCTTACCCATTTTCTGTGCTAATTGAAATGCCGTTCTGGGTGTACAGCACCAGCTGCTTCTCGAGTGGCCAGCACTTCTGGGAGGTGATCACCCGTGACTCATTGTGCTGGAAAGTGGGTGTCACTGATAACAGTTTTCAATGCTACCTGGAAATGTCGCCTCAGCGTCATCTCCGTGTGTTTCTAGATAAAAGACAGATTAAAGTCCATTTACTTAACACAGCCATCAGAATGGTCAGGGTACAACTAGACTGCGAAAGAAAGACAGTGTCATTTTTTGATGTGTCTGTCAAGGATTATTCGGGCTCTTCTAGGAGCTGTGTGCCCATAGCTGCAGTAATCATCCCTGCAAGCTCTCCTGTCTATGCTATCTTCAGCATTTCTCATGGCTCCCTTTCACTCACATAGTGACCTGGGGGAAAGGCTGCCTTGCCTTTCTGCTCCTTGGTTCTCTATGTTTTGAGGCTGCAGCTGCACAGACTGCCACATTAGCACAGTATAAGCCAGGCTTCAGGCCTGCTCCTGAGCTATAATAAGGTCTTTTGCAGCTGTGGGCTGAGTGAGAGAAGGAGAAAATGAGGCTCTACCATCAAATACATCTCCTCAGGTTTTTAGTACTTCTGTTTCAAGTATTGTACTTTTGCTGAACTGTATGGATTGCTGTGTTGGATGGATATTATTAAAGTAATTTTGTTCACAAAACTTGGTGGTAACCTAGTCTATTAGATATACGGCACAACGTGAATGCTACAGCACTCACAAGCAGCATTGCCAATCTCTGCTCTAGTGCACCAGCTTTTACCTCCGTGTCCTGCACAGCACTGCCATAGGTCTGTTCCTAACCCTGGGGTACCAGCAGGATGGTGGCGCTTGGAGCAGCTGAGGAGAGCGCGACTAAGCAGAGAACACCTGGCTTGCTGCAGCCAGGCTAAGGCACATCGCATCCAGGGCTCACTTGGGCACAGGGCTGCAGGCGAACTGCCGATAACACGCCTCACATGGGGGAGCATTTTGTTCACCTCAGAGAGCACGGGGCGGAGTGCAGGGGGCTGGGCTGCAGGGGGCGGGGCTGCAGGGCTGGCCCTGTGCATTTCAGTTTCGTTTCTGGCAGACTGGTGGGTGTTGTCGATCGGTTGTGCAGCCATGGCAAAAGCAAAGGAAGAATTTGGAGCCTCTTGTAGCTTAGAAGATGAACTCAGCTGTTCCATCTGCCTGTCCCTGTACAAGAACCCCGTGTCACTCCGCTGCGGTCACAGCTTCTGCAAGCAGTGTGTCCAGAAGGTGCTCAGCACCCAGCAGCAGGACAAGGCCCCCTACTCCTGCCCGCTGTGTAGGGTCGAGCTGGGGCCCACCCTGGAACTGCAAAATAACTTCCATCTGTGCAGCATCGTGGAGACGTATCTGGCCAACAAAGGGAAGCAGGACGAGGGCTTTGCGACGGAAAACGGAGAGGCAGTTCCCTGTGACTTCTGCCTGGACAAGCCCCAGCCGGCCGTGAAGACCTGCCTGATCTGCGATGCCTCCCTGTGCCAGGCCCACCTGGACAAGCACGGCGCCAGGGCCTCCCACAGGGACCACGTCCTGGTGGAGGTGGGCACGGGCGGCTCGATGGAGGAGAGGAGGTGCCAGGAGCACGGCAAGGTCCTGGAGTACTTCTGCCAGGACGAGAGGCAGTTCATCTGCGTGCTGTGCTCCATTGCAGGGTGCCACAAGGGCCACAAGATCCTCACCCTGAAGGAGGCCCATGACATGAACCTGGTAAGGGGCCCTCCTCTCACTCCTCTCCCCGAGGCCCTGCATGTCTCACTGCAGAGCCTGGGCATGGGGGCAGAGGGGCACAGCATGGGGGTGGGGGCAGGAACACTTAACCTTTCTCTGGGGTGGGGATGGGGGCTGAAGGCAGGGAGAGGCACCACGGGCATACCAGCATGCTGGTCCTATGTGCTGAGCTTTGCTTGTCATTTCCTCCTCTGTGGTGGCTGAGCAGATTACCAAGCTCTTCCTCCAAAGCGGCGCTTTTTCCTCTCACAAAAGCCTTTCGGGGCAAGGAACCTCAGTCAGATTTGATTCTTCATCTTTACATTTTTCAAAACTTAAAACTTTCCAGCTATGACAAATATCTCACAGAAAAAAAAAAAAAAACAACAAAAAACCAAAACGACAAAAAACCTAAGCTTTCTGGTGTCATTTTTTACTCAAGAGGTTTAAAAAACTGGCATGTGTGCTGCTGTGGCCATTAGTGCGTGCAGGAGGTGTGAAAACACTGCTGGAAGCAGGTGAGGAGTAGCCAGCACCAGCCAGGCAGCAATCAGAGAATCATAGGATGGCCTGAGTTGAAAAGGACCTCAAAGATCTTCTAGTTTCAATGCCTTGCTGTGGGCAGGGTCACCATCCACTAGACCAGGCTGCCTGGAGCCACGTCCAGACTTGCTTTGAGCAATGTCTAGAGCCTGCCTCATCCCTGAAGAGCGAGATTTAACATCACCCAGAAACCTGCCATCATACATTGTAACAGCACTCAGGGACTGTACCAAAGTAAGCAGCTGGGTGAGTAAGTACTGATGTATTGCTAATGTCCTGAAAAGATGGTCACTTGTTACCTTGCCCATAGATGCCACAAACACTGACAGATGTGAAAACCAAGGGTTTGGATTACATTAAGCACATGCGGAGGTTCTGAAGGGAACAGAACTTGAACAGACAAAGTGAGATTTATTCATTTAAAGAGAAATTTACTTATTCAAAGGGAAGGTTTTTAATTGATTAATCTACCATATACAAAGTCACGCATACATCAACATTAAACACTGGCTTGAAAGACTTCAAAAATTATATTGGTTTTGCCATTTTACCCTACTTTTAAAAGGAGGCAAGTAACACAGCCTATTTTAGAGCTTACTGCAACCATGGTGTTGGAGAAAGCAAGCACACATGCTGCTTCACCAGTGCCACAAACGGCTGGCCTGGTTTAATAATACACATGCTGCTTCCCTGTTGTGAAGTTCAATGCTCTTTTTTCTTCTGCTAGGATGACCTCTCTCACACTATGGATAGGCTGCTGAGATACACAAATTATTTATCTATCGCCCTCAAGGAGCTTCAGCGAAACAAGAATCAGATTGAGGTATGCACCCAGCTCACGACTAATTCAGAGCATCTTCCCTCCGTGTTTTCTAAGAAATAAATGATGGCAATAATACTGTGGTGTCACATTCAGCAAGTTGTCCTGATAGATTCACCTGCAAAGGCACTCCAGTAATTACTGAAAACATCAGGCACAGCCCCGTACAGGTGGTGGTATTGAAACTGCTCTGTGACAGCAGTTTCAAGCCAGGGCTGCACAGGGATGCTGAGGCTGTGAGCTGTGCCTGAATGGCAGCCGGTGACCTCCACTGACTGCACTGCTGTGGGCTGCCTTCCTCGTTCCATCTGGAGCCCTTGGGAACGGTCAAACCAATCCTTTGCAACTCTTCTCTACATTTTAACATGTGGTTATTTGGGTTTTAGGATCTAGTTTGTCTCTTTTGCAAGAATTAATTAATTAGGAGTGGTGCTCGCTATGAAATATACTGGCTGTTAGTATTATTACAACTGCAGAATAAATATGGTAAGCAAGGAACATAGAATCTTTTAGCTAGAACAATTGTCAAATCAGGAGGAAAATTCAGGTATCATCTAGGTGTCCAGCTCTTCAACTATCAGTACAAGTAGAAAAAAAAGATGAATAGAAAGAGATGCAGTCCGAAGTAGGGAAAACACTGATATAAGAAGCTCCCATCAAGCTTTTTTATAGCCTCCCAGCATAGCTTCTCAGAAGGAACCAGCTGGGAAACTCCACCTTTCATTGTGGTGGCAGGACTGGCAGAGTTTAGTCATTTGCACACCACAGTCTGTGCATAGCATTATATATTTTTAAAGCTTTTTACCCTGTAAATAAAGGTATTGCATTTAGCAATGTGGTTCTCACACTGCTAGCTGGATTTTATCCGATTTTGTTGCTCCAGCAGGGTAATTTTCAGAATTTGTTGTGTTTATCACATAATCTAAGCAAAAGCTTATTGTCTGCTTCCTTCTAAAGCTGAAAGGACAGATACAAATCTAGTAGAGACCCCTAGTTGAGCACCTGAGCCAGTGCACCATTTTCTTCTCTCTTCATTTAGAGCAATACGAAAGCAGTGACTTTCCTGCTGCAAAGGATGTTTGGAGAGATAAAGACGCAGATAAAAAATAAAGAGAAGAAGATCTTCAGTGATATTCAATCCAGTGAGAAATCACAACTGGCAGAATGCGCTAAACGGAAGAAAGAGATGGAAGAAAAGAGAGCTGAGCTTGTGCAGCATCTTCAGTCCTTGCAGAAGATAAAAGAACAACCAAACACTTTCCACCTCGTCAAAGTAAGCAGCTGTTCTTTGTTCGTGTGCCCGCTTCTCAGCCAGCTGCCCTTTCTGGAAATTACACTAATGATTTCTTCTTCTTTTTTTTCAATCTTAATCACAGGAATTTAGGCTGGTGCTGGACAGGTACGTTCCATCTGAAAACACTTGTTTTCCTTGAAAAAATATGATGTGGGTAACTGAGATCAAACCTGCAGCATGTGCCCCTCTGTCCTGGAACCCCCTCTGCAAAGCTGCTCCCTATTCCATCTGTGCCAGAGGGCACCATGCTCACACAACTAACAAAGATGGGGACATAGCTGCTGACCTTTCCAGTGGCCCAAAACAGCTTCAGTTTCTTTAGCTACATGGTTACTGGATTCTGGGGAAAACTACTGGCTTTTGTTAGAGATGGAGACCATAAGGGTTCAGGTTACAGACAGCAGTGCTCTCCCAGCTGTGTATCTGTGACTTTCCCACACTTAGTTGCACTGAGCAGCCCTTGGCTGCAGAGACGACCAGCTCAGTTTGGGTTCTGTTTGTGGACAAGTGTAATGACTTGACAGAGCACTTGCCTTCTCCTGCAAGTGATACATTTAATTTATAACTTACCACTTCCTAACTGACATCTGGGTGTCTGTTGTAATTCAATGGTGCAAAACCACACTGCCAGTACATTAAGTTACGTATCCACCAGGGATTCTGTTGCTGCAGTAAACTCCTCAGTCTCATGAAGGGCCAGCTCTAACGTCTAGCTGGATTCTAAAGAGCTCATCTCTGTACCTTGCACAAATTAAGGCTGAGGTTGGATGGTAAGGATAACTTAGAATCACTGCATACCTGGCGACGGTGCTGGCAGCAGTGCCTTCCGTTACTCGCAGCTCTGTGCAAATCAAAATGTAGCCTGTGGGATCAAAGCTGTTTTCCAGAAGCCTGGAGACTGTTTAATAGGTCTGGTGTTTTCTTTTTATCACAATGGTCATTGTGCTAGAACAGTGACAGCCTGCCTGCAAGAGGTCAAAGCAGCTTCACACAAAAACACTATGGCTCCTCCTTTCTCATTTCAGTATTTCAAAGGTCTTATGTGGGTCTGGTAAGTAACAGGTAATGCCAAATAAATTGTTAATTTTAACAGCTGTGACTTGTTTAACCTTAACAAAGAGTTGTTTACACCACAATGCACTGTCCTCTTTGCAGAGTCCTTCTTAATAAAAGAGTTTGTTAAATCTTCAACACTAAATGGCTTTCTGTGGTGAAATGCCTGCTTGCATCCTAGCATTTCGAGTCACAAGTTCAGGATCTGTCCGAAGATGGACGTGTCAGCGGTGG